TCAGCAGGAAAATCCTAAACCATCTTTGAAACGTTTTTAATTATTGATTAGTGAGGCTATATGGGTGGTTCTGGGTGAGATGTGAGCTCCTCAGCACGTGTTTTGGGCCGTTAGCACGCACCTCTCCCCACGCAGCGGCCGGAGGCTCCACCGGAGGATAGTGTTTGGCCAGATCCCAGGCCACCTCCGTCATGAACCAGCGGAAGCTCCTGCAGCTCAGCCGGCTCCTCAGCTGCTTCTGCGCGGACACGTCTCCGGCGGACAGGTGCCGGTACTCCGGCCGCCGCTGGTAGATAAACTCCGCATACTCGTCCATCCACACCTCAGCCACACGCTTCAGATTCTGCAACACAGCGGCGGATCACACATACAGTATACAGGTCCCTGCGTGTTACTGAACACATGCACGGTGCTTTGGTTTCGTTTTATACTGATGTCTCTACTGTTTAATGCCAGCTCACTGAGGACTGTTTCTCAACCGTAAAGTAAGCCTGCATATCCAGACGGCCTTCATTATTTTGAAGGATGCATAGAATCACCCACAATACTTTGCACACATTTCAATTCAGAAAATGAATCAGCGCTGACCTCTCCTACTTCATTATGAACTTCAAAAGAGAGAAACGATTTCGGAGATGAGGGCATTATGTTTTGTTGTGAATTAGCCACATAATGCTGAACTATTCATAATGGACACCACTGGGAGACGCAGACGGTTGTCATTCACTGTACTGCATCAATAGAAAGTCAGTCGTAATATAAAGTATTTACTAGAGCGTCTCACTCTCGTGTTTAACGCTGAGGACGCAGTCTGAGAAACACCCGACATCTTCACTGCTTTAACTGCAGAGATGTAGTAAATCTGATCTGCTTGGTCTCAGAATGATCCGGATCTGGATGTGTTTGTCGGATCTGATGCTCAAACTCACCCTGGCGAGACTCACTCCACCCGGCACTTTATAGGGAACGTATTTTCTGTAGATGTGACCCACACGTGAGCAGGGAATGTCCTCCATACGGCCGCCACACATCCACACCTCAGAGAAGATGAAAACAGTCTTTCAAATGAATGGAAACACACGCCGACAGTGACACAAGTAGCACTACAGACGGCAAACACAGACACTAAACTCACTCTGAAGCCTGCTTACATTCACAGCGTGTTCTCCTGAAGACACTAGGGGGCGCTGTATCTGACTTTACTGTGAATGATAGGAGATTATACTGATCTAAAACAACACAGAAATATAATACACGCAGCTCTGGTTATATTCTCAGCCTCAGATGTGGGATGTTTTTGACTATTGTTATTCGTTATCACAGCAACCGCTTGTGTGTGCGAGATTAACGTGCGTTTAATGAATGAAAAGTGGCTGAAACACGTGAGAGCGCAAAATAACAGGAAAAGCTTGACGTGTACCGGTGACTGTACATTAATTAAAGCTATTCTATTCACTAGGATAATGACATAGCAACTGTTGCTGTCGATCAAGTTTCATTCATAATATTTCCTCCTTAAAGGTGCTATAACGTCACATCATATCGCTGTGATCTGATTGGCTGTCGACTGTAAGCAGGTGCATTAGGCCTGTGCCACAACGATTACCTTGAAGGAGATCTCGTACTGCTCTCCTCCCCAGATCTCCAGACCCGTGTCATATCCTCCCAGCTCCCAGAACCACTTCCTGTCCACAGCGAAGAGACCGCCTGCCATCACCGGAGACCTTACCGAGGAGAAAAAGAGACTAAACTAAAAACACAGTAAAACTGAAGCACTGAAGCACTGAGCAGCACACAAAGAGATCACCGAAATACACCTTTAATGAGAATATTCAGACTGTTTCTGCTGCTCATGGAACCCTTCTGATCAATGAGACACGAGTGAATGAATTCAGTACTTTAATTCAATAAATGATTTATAATAAATGTAGTTAATTACGTTTTTATTTATCTGTGTGTCACTTTCTGTCTTCTGTGGAGCACAAAAGAAGATATTTTGAAGAATGTTTTTGTCCATACAATGAAAGTCATTGGGGTCAAAAAACACTGCAGGCCTGTTTACACTTGAGTTTTCACTGATTGAAAAAAAGCAGGTGTAAATGCCCTCCAGCTTTCCAGACACAAACAGATCTGCTTGTTCAAGCCACAGAAGTATATTTCACGCCTCCCTAAAGAGTAATAAATAAAGGTGTGAGTGTGTTTTTACCAGCAGACGCCACAGCGCTACCGCAACACAAACATCCGCAGATGAGCGGATCTATAAATGATGCTATGACTGCTGTCATCTTCATTACATGCTATATTCTCCCACCTGACTCGCTTTGATGTATAAAATGCAGCGCTGATGACATAACATGTAACAACACGTAACATCTGTTGCTAAGGTTTGTGAAGTGAACTCCACTGATTTAGCAAATAGCATGGATATCGATGATTAGATTTATATCGGTTTTGATGAGTGGCCAAGTGTCAATTAAACGTATCGGATAATGACACGACTGATCAAGATGCAGGAAGTGACCAAGTGTGAATATTCAAAACATCTTCCCTCCTGACTGTCAGAAATAAAATATTTTATGGAGAAATAAACAGCATGCATATGTAACACACACACACACGCACTCACGCACACACGCGCACACTCTCACTCTCACTCTCACTCTCACTCTCACTCACACACTCTCACTCTCACACACTCTCACTCTCACACACTCTCACTCTCACACACACTCACTCTCACACACTCTCACTCTCACACACTCTCACTCTCACACACTCTCACTCTCACACACTCTCACTCTCACACACTCTCACTCTCACACACTCTCACTCTCACACACTCTCACTCTCACACACTCTCACTCTCACACACTCTCACTCTCACACACTCTCACTCTCACACACTCTCACTCTCACACACTCTCACTCTCACACACTCTCACTCTCACACACTCTCACTCTCACACACTCTCACTCTCACACACTCTCACTCTCACACACTCTCACTCTCACACACTCTCACTCTCACACACTCTCACTCTCACACACTCTCACTCTCACACACTCTCACTCTCACACACTCTCACTGTAGTACATCTCCCAGTCGAAAGCCCCTCGCATCGCATCGCCGGCCTGCGTCTCGTAGCCGAAGTTATCGTGGTCGATCACATCGATCATCGGACACACTATCGTCTTCCTGTTACCCGCGATGCGATCTAAAAACCAATAATTCACTGCCATTAAATAACAGCTTTAGGAGCTGAACAATCAAATCACATCTCCTTTACTTCTACAGCGCTTTATGCACTACAGATCGTTTCAGAGCATCTTCATAATAATAAACGGATAATAATAAGAGTGTTGATGATGTAAAATTCTCTCTCACCCAGTAACGGCGGCAGCCAGTTGACGTTGGCCTCGCAGTGTGAGTCCAGGAACGTGATGACCTGACCCTTCGCAGCCGCGGCGCCCAGCAGTCTGGTCCGGATCAGACCCTCACGCTTCTTAGTGCGCAGGATTCGAACCTTCGGCAGCTGCACCATGTACTCCTCCAGAGGAGCCTTCAGATGCTCTAGAAGACAGAGACACGCACACATGGAGACACCACCCATCACACACTCCAGCAGCTTACTCCTTACAGACGCAGTTCAGAACCTGCCTTAAATGTTTTGGATGGCTTTTATTCTCTTCCTCTCTCAATGCTGAATCCATCAATGAAAATACTTCAGATGTGATTTGATCATAAAACAAAAGCTGTGATTGAGTTAATCTCTATCATGATTTAAATATGACTTATTTCAGTCAGATATAGCACAATATTTTGCTCATTTTGAGGCACTCATTTGACAGTGTTGACCAGAAGAATCCTGAATAGTGGCCTGGATGTCAGTGCTTTGTGATAAATTGTGATTCATGGTGATGTGCTGTGATATATCGTGATGTGTAGGTGTCACAGCCAGCCTTAACATAACATTACACATTACACAGAGAGAGGATTACGGCTGGCATAATCTGACGCTTATGAAACGTGTGACGCAGTTCAGACACGGGGACGAAGGAGGATCATCCGACCAGAAACAGCAGCTCACAATCTGTCATGCCAATCAAACATGCATGACTTACACGAGACGACTTGCTGAAACAAACTGATGGTGACTTCATCATGACATCCAGCCCAGTGTTTCTAATGTTTCTGATGGCAGATGATCCTCGTCCACACGTGCTCTTCAAACATGAGCCCAACAGAACCTGATGAAAAAGAAGGACGCAGTCTCTCCGGCGGCTCGTACCTTTGTCGCTGAAGTCATCCACGAGGATGATCTCGGCGATGAGCTGCGGCGGCGAGCGGCTGAGGATGCTGTGAACCGTGCGCAGCAGAGACGACCAGCCCTCGTTATGGAAGGGGATGATGATGCTGGTGTTGGGAAGATCTTCTGTGTACAGCTTTGTCTTACAGCTGCGACACACAAATGAACCGGCGGTCAGTGTGACGATGATCAAATGCACTCGTGATGGCTGTGAGTCTGTTGTGACCGATACAGTTAAAGCTTGATGCTTTGCTTCCCTTTGGAACTATTTTCATTTAGTCTCACACTGAAGTTATGGATATTAACCGCTGCATTAAATCTATATCACACTGTGATCACATGTGCTGACAGTCAATCAAAAACATCAGTTTCAATCATTCTGACACTGATGAGTGCTGTTAGACTAAAAGTGTTCTTCCTAAACAGATCAGTGCGTAGTGAAGTGCAGCACAGCAGCATCCAGAAAATGAAATATTTTGGATAATTTAGCCATTTGTAAATATCGGGGAATTTTTTACATTTCCGTCTACCTAGATGAATACATCCTGAACAGAATCTTTTTTATTATGTGCAATGAGAATGTAGAAGTTTTATTCTACAAGACAAGTTTTAGAGAGAAAATATTCTAGACTAGAGCATGACTGAAATATAGAGTGACGACAGACATACTTCTCAAGACTTATATCTATATTTTTCAGGAATTCATTATGTAATATATGTAAAGCAAAGAAACTGCTGGCCTGTTATTGCAGTCATAACGTACTGCTGTTGTGTTCTACACATCAAACCCACACTGAAGTTCAGTGTAACTCAAGCAGAGCTGTTCATGTACGGTAATGAATGCAGGAATCATGTCATACGTGTGCTGCAGAGGTTTATACTGAGGAGGAAGAAGAAAGCACTCACTTCGGGTGTCTGATGTCAGGCAGGGATCTGTTGAGGGCGATGCGATTGCTGACGAATATGTTGAATCCGTTCTCCCTGTAGGCCTGGTCCACGCGGTCCGAGTCGGTCAGTGGGTACGGCCTGCCCTGCTCGCCGACACCTTCAACACACCACAGATTCACCATCACACTCATCTGCAGTCCAGCTCTATCACGCTTCATGCATCACGTGACGTACCTGAACGTGCTGCTTCACTCTTAATAAATGCATGGTCATGCCAGTCCTTTTTCCGAACGCCATCGTTCTGCACTTTGTTCATTCTCTGAAAACACACAAAGCATGTGTGATGTGATGTTATGAGGAGGACTGTGTGCTAGTCTTTGCTAAATCGTAATGCATCAGTTGTGAAGCAATACATCAATACCTGAGGAAACAGAAAAGAGGACGGCGAGAAAGACCAACCCTTGTGTCTAAACATAGGAACCAAATAAACCATGTTTTACAAAATACCAGAACCAAGGAATGAACGAATGAAATGCGTTACTTTTTTTTATGTAATATAGAGTTAGGGCCAATTATTAGAACAATGCTACCTGTATAAAAAGTCTGTATGAAACCCTTTGCAAGAATGAAAATTTTGTCTGATTTGTTATCATGTGATTATCTCATCATGTGGCAACAAAAGACTAAAAGAATCATCAATGGAGCTGTTAGGATCATGAATCCTCTCATTTCTGACAGTATGACTGACAGGCCGCTTTACAGCGACAGAACAGTTTTATGAGGTGGTAGTTTGTCCCAAAGCTTCTCTGCTCTTCTGCTACACACTACAAAGCATCACCATTTTCTTCACAAGAAGAATGCATACTTTAGGGCATAGTGTAAGAAGGTGAATTGGGACACAGCATAGTTTTCTGCTACGTGTCTGATGTTTAATGCAAACAGCCACACCTTTTTTAACAACAAGCACGTCTCACTGTAAAAAAAAACAAACAAAAAAAAACTTGGCAATGAAGCCAAACTGCGTGGTAAATCAGATGAATGATTTAGATGAGAATGTCAGGATTCAGAATGTAATGCTTCTGTGCACGAGGTGACATGAAACTGTTCTTACCACCACGCTGACAGTGAATGTGTGTGAGTGATTGATGCACTGTGATTCCTGCACCTGCTGAAGCTCAGGCTCTTCCACTGGGAAAACAGAGGCGCTATCAGACCAGCGGCCTGGACGAGAGCCAGCCAAGAGCCTGAACAACGCCGCCTTTCAACAACACCACGTACAGCCTTTCCCTATGAAGACGATCTCTTCCCATCATAAATGCTCAACGTGACAGCGGCCCCAGAAGAATATATATTATATTCATAATCCTCACGTTATTCCAAAATCATATGACTCTAATCAGGGAAAGCCTTTCACAGCACTGTACGTGTTTTGGCTATATAAACTACAGATCGGACTGCTGATGTCAAAAAGGCTGCAATGGTAAAGATGCTTTCTGAAGCGCCGCTTGTGTGCGATGCATGCGATGTGGTCAATTGCACGTCTTGGTCAAACCGTTTGTCTTTGAGAGAAATTCCTGTCAACAGTCCATCATATGTGTAAATGCAGACTGATAGTCCTGGCACAGTCATAAAACAAACTGCTCAGACAAAAACTTCAAGCATTTTTTTTGCTTTTACTTGTTGGGTTTCTTTGTTCCTCATTTATAACTGACATTTTTTAAAGGGGTCATCGGATGCAAAATTCACTTTTGTTGTTGTTTGAACATAAATGTGTGTTGGAAGTGTGTGTACACATCCACCCTATAATGATAAAAATCCACCCAGTGTTTTTTTTTAAATCCCCTTTCTCAAACCCAGCTTCGTCTACAGTGAGTATAAGGGTTTTTTTATGAATCTTTGCAAATCACCTTTCCTAATAACGTGCTAGTTAGCAAGTTCCGTGGCTAAAGTAAACAGTATCATGAGAACGGTTCGTCACCCACGGAAGAGAGGGGCGGGGTCAGCAGAGCTCATTAGCATTTAAAGCAACATGGACTTGAACGGCGTGCTGAAAACAGCTGATTTTGACAAGGTAAAAAGGGTGTTTTTTTACACTACCATTGAGAAATTTTAACCAAAGTATGTTATAGACTTTTCATTAAGACCCTAAAGAATCATATAAACTTGTGGAAAATGGGCATCCGATGACCCCTTTAAGCAATTTGAACTTTAATAAGAAGAATGGATTTATTTTAAATAGTGCCTTTCTACAAACTTTACAAGCACATAACAAAAACATAACAATTTTAATATTTTCAAATAGTTAAATAAGGTAGTTAAATCATTTAAAATCATGTTCCAGTAGCCAGTGAGCGTTTTTCACTCAGAGCGCATTATATACACGGTGAGAAGGAGAAACTCCTCAAGTATCAGCAGCATGCAGCGTCCACCTAGATGAAGACCATCCACCAAACATACATCCGCCCATCACACATCTGCCCAACACACACCCGCCCAACACACATCCGCCCATCACACACCCGCACCTCCCACACCCACCCCAC